CACCATATACACCCACTTTGGGATCAACCCCTATGATTAATGGCTGACCACCTGAGTTACATATGTATACACAAATTGATTAGCTATAGAGGCTGCAGATCAGCAAGCTGTTTATTTGATCAGTTTTGTCCAATAGGAGAAAGCTTTCAGCACAAAGCCACAAAACTTAATTTCAACCCAAACTCAACTCAAATGCACTTCATTGACTTGACAGTTACAAAACACAGTGTTGCCCAACCAATTATGTTGGCTATAACACAATTATATTCATTATGCATGTACTACTTCCAGAATCTGAACTTTAACCAGGCCAAACAACAGGGACGGGGAGGGGAGGGGGGGCTGGTCTTGTAGGGTCAGAGTAAATTTAGTAAATTTGAGTAAATTTGCTGAACAAATCACAGAGAGACTGTGCACTCGGGTGCTGATGGGGCAGCCTCCTGCACAAATAATGCAGCGCAATTAGTGCTGCACTTGTGACCCTGGTGCCAAGGTTAGCAGGACGGTTGGCCCAGGTTCACAGTGCGATGTGTTAGCCAGGTGGCCCGACTAGGTTGGGCAACAGCAAGATTAGACTTGGGTAGTTTTGGGGAGGCAGTGCAGAAAGGCTGGGCAAACAGTTGTGTTGTTTGTTCTGCTGATTGGGATAGGACAAGTAGGGTGAAGATCAGCGGATGTCAACAGAGGGGTGGCATTTACAGTCCACTGTCACTCCCTCAGTGTCACCTGTGTCACCAACAACATCCTCAGCTCTGCTATAGACTGGAAGCTACAGGACAATGAATCTTTGTGGCCCAAACTAGTAGAATAATGTATTACGTTACATTATAATGTATGTTTCATTTCACTGCCTTTCCTGATAGCTCTCTTACCTCACACAGCTAACACCTTAGCTCCTGAAAAGCTAACACTGTTTATTTGTGTTTGCTCTGGCCACCAGGAGGGCTGTAGCTCTAATCCGAGGAGGAAATTATTGAATGTTCCAGTGCTCATCTGAGAAGGCTTCAAATGCGTGGCCCCCCACTGTTCAGGGGCCTTGAGCGTGGGCCCCTGGGACACATTGTAAAGACGACACCACATTTCTCCTTCACACACTCTGATCTGAGTTATTAGCTCTGAGGCTAAAAGCGTGGTCTTGTGAAGAGGAGCTGTAATGAGAAAACCAGGTGAGCTATTTAACTAGAGTTTCACAGCTATTAAAGTGCCAACACACTGGGTCACCATGGTGATGAGTGCAGGGTGCGAGACTTCCGGGGAGTCAGCATTTTTGTTTATTTGACAGTGGTGGATGTTTGTTTTTTGTAAACTTTTTGGGTTACTCTGTTTTGCAGAATAATCCATATATTAGATTAGATGTCAGCCTTTTTTAAACAGTCACAGGTTCTATATATACAGTTATATTCTTGCTTTAAAGCTCTTGGATCCATTGAAACATGACAAATGATAGGTTACTAATGTCATGCATGGTAATTGATATATGATCTTTTGAACTTTTTCCACAATAGTACTGTTCTTCACTTGTATGTATGTTTACATGCAAATTATTTGAATGCGAAAAATGTAATACTCACACATTGCCAGGTCCAGTGTGTAACATTTAGGAGAATCTATTGGCAGAAATGGAATACAATATTCATATGTATGTTTTCATTATTGTACAATCACCTGAATATAGTAATAATAGTGTTTTTGTTACCTTAGAATGAGACGTTTCTATCTACCCACACCATGGAGGTGAAGCTTGAGTTGTGTGTGCAGGTTATGAACACTTGCACAATTTAAAATACCTCGAACTAGCCCTTTTTAGGCAGGCTGTGGCTGTTATAAGTCAGTTAAGCACTTTCACAGTTTGCAATGAAAGCAAAATCAACAAATCTTTGCTTTGTGAAGTACTCTTAAAGTACTGTTTTACATCCTAGATGCAGCTTATTGAGCATGGCAGTGTGGGGAACAGAAAGATCCATCGTTGAGTATTAAAGGAGCTTCACACCCAGTCTGATAAATCCGGCTGGGTGACACTTGCAGCTGAATGCTGGAAATTTGCACTAATTGTTCTAAGGATCACACCACCGTGGAGTTTTACATTGTTTGTGTGGGGGTGGATATTTGTCTCACAGTCTGACCCCAGAGTGTGATATTGTACCTGTGATATAGCAGTGATTTTTCCACCTTTAAAACAATATTTGACCACCTAGCAAACAAAAGTTTGCCATCTCTGAGTCTGTCTCAGTGAACACTGCAGGCAGTGTATCTTGTGGATCAAGTGATTTATTGTTATTTTCATCCTAAGAAAAGTGTAGCCAAAACTCCGGCCTTGTAGAGAACTTCCAAGTGAGCAATTTAATTTTAAAGAGCACCATATTTTTAACCCCTTTAGACCCGCCTTATGTTCCAAGATTGTGAAAAATATAATAATGACTTTTTCCCATCTGTAATGCAACCAGAATGAGAATCAATAAAAACATTTTTTTATCAAAACTCTTTAATTGTTATTTTTTTGTCCATTTCAATGGACATCGGGTCCAAACAGTTGTTAAAATACCAACATCATATGACACAACTCTCCTATTTTTTGTCTTATAATTGTCACATTGACATCACATGGAACAGTTCAAATGTTTTTTTTGTAAGGTCCAAACAGTTTTAGAATATATATTTTTAAATTTTTTTTTTTTCTTTTTTGTTCTGCATATGGAATATTTTCAACTGATTATCAACTCATTCTCTTGTTCTGATGTACTGTTTTTATAATAATAAGGTCATTCATCAATACTGGCCAATTGAGTTCAATAACATGGTTTCTGACCCACTGTCCATTCTAATGGACAGCGATATTTGAAAAACTCCTCTGTAAGAACTTGCACTGAAACATGTGATATTACACTTCTATTCATACATTCCATCTTTCAATATTATATCAAAACTATGAAATCTTGGCACAAATATCTATAAATGTGAGTAAAACTGTTGAAAATGATCCTTACTTCGATGTGTGAGGTGAAGCCCTGCCATGCCTCTCTTCCGTCTGGTGGATTTTTTTCATACAACAAGCAAAGCTATACTGCCGTTTGATTCGTTGTTAAACGTCCAATTCAATGGACTTGAGGGTTCGAGTGGTGTTAAATGTTGCAAAAAGTAAAAAAGAATCCCCTGTCATGTCACGTCCATTGTAATGGACACAGGGTCTATTTTGGTAAAATGTTTTATGTGACTTGGGTGGATTTACTGTACAACCAATATGCCACATAAAAAAAAACCCAAACAGATTTTGTACCTTTCTTCAGGGCTGTTTCAGATCTCTTCCACCACCAGACCCCTACATTGTTCCAACAGGATGTGATACACTAATTATATTTACAAGGAGCAAGGCCCAGACTCCAGAGTTACACTAATATGATAAACACACCTGCCGGCCGAAGGCAGAACAGCTTTGCAGTGTTTGTCAGTCTATGTCTTCCGGATGTTAAATCAATAAACTACCTCAATTCAAAAAAAGAAGCCTGATGCAGTCCACAGACTGGAGGAATGCCATTCATTCTGGCCCCCAGAATTTTCCCCTTGACTGAATCATGTCTCATCTGAATGGTATTCAGAGCTTTTTTGATCGGTCAAGATCTCTTGGTGATGGCTAGGAAATATTACATGATGTCAATTTCTAAACTTTATCTACTTGGTTTATTGAATACATAAATATATCAGTAAGTATCTAATTACAGAGTTTGAGAAAGAAAAATAACAGAAAAATCTTAACTCATGTCCCCTTAGCTTTCTCTGGAGCTTTCAACTGTATTTAATGAGCTTCATCAGCACATGGAATTTACTCAGTTGTCATGATCATTTAAAAAGTATAAAATATCTATCTCTAAAATACAGATTATTTTAGAATACTTGCTGAGTACTTCTTTTCAGCTTTGTATCTGTAACATGTGCAGCCTGAACATCAAATATTACAAAGACAAAGCTTAAATATCAGTCTTTGTCCCGGCAGTTATTAATCTTTCTAAAGCTCAGCTCAAAAAGTGATTAATTCTAACACAAAGCATCAGAAACTTCTACAGCAATAAATCCCTAAAACATTTAGCCAACCAATACCACCAGAGGGACCCAGGGGTCACTGAGCATCAGAGTGCCACAAAGGTCACTTGTAATTTGGTGACTGCTATCATTAAAAAAACAACTCCTTTAAAAGATCTAAAAACTCAGTTCTAAGTGATGTTTCATTTTTAAATCATGTTCAGCCACATGAACCTGTTCCTTACATAATCCAGGGTCTCTTGTGCACATTGACATCCAACAGGTGTGCAGTATGTAGAACATCTGTGACACCTGTAATAGCACACACACATGCTCACACACGGACAAAGTAAAAGTAATTGATTGAATGTTTCCAAATGGGATAAATCGACTTGTCCAATTTAATTTTACAGCGTTTGTTGTTCCAAGTACTAATATGTATTTCATCCTGTCATTCTGTAAAATACGTGGAAAATTGTGCCAACACATAAATTCAAGTAACTTGAAACAAGGTTTGAATGTAATTAATTTGGTCTTCAGAATAACTAGGGACCCATTTTTAATTTACTGTGACCAAAACTCTCAAACCTGAAATTCATTAGCTATACATCACCTGTAAGCTATGTGTAAATCTCAACTGGGTTGCTTCTTAATTGTTTCCTAAGGGCTCCATTAGTGGCACTAAAATCACACGTGTAAAAGAAGAATGGGTATGTTGTTGACTCCCTTTGCCTGTTTTACACATCTGACTAGTGCATGGAGCAACATCTGTGGACTGTTGAGAGAAAAGCTCAGGCTATGAGAAATTATACTGCTGAATAAAAGGAATCAGCCAGATATTGGTGGGGTGCATTATTTGGTGATCCTCTGACTTCCCATTAAGGACCATCATCAGCTCAAAACTTGTTTTAAACAGTTTTTATGACCACCTGCAAAACTAATGACATTCACATGAATCGTATCCCTACTTTGTATCGATAGATAGATAGATAGATATTCCTTTATTTGTCCCACAATGGGGAAATACCAATGTAACAGCAAAGTGGATAGAGAAAAAACAGTATAAATAAACAGTAATTAGCAAACATTAGCATGATAACACACTAACAAGATAGTGAACATTGTAAACCTGCTATCGCTGATGTTAAAGGTCCAGTGTGTAACATTTAGGATGATCTATTGGCAGAAATAGAATATAATATAGGTATGTTTTCATTAGTGCATAATCACCTGAAAGTACGAGTTGTTGCATTTTGTTACATTAATATGAGTTGTTTATATCTACAGAGGGAGTGCGGTGAGTCTACGGTAGCTCAAAACACCGCTGTAGTTTCTCCAACATGCTTGAAAGGAGAGGGTAAGGCAAAGTTGCAATCTGCAAATTCTCCACTAGCTGCCACTAAATCCTAAACATCAGTCCTTTAAAGAACCGCTATACCTTACCACAGCCTCTCAGAGGCGCTAACAAGGCTGTAGACTGCTTTCTTGTCTTAGCCAGGCAGCAATAACCGACAAGTTATCAATAACTAAAAATTTACTTGTTAACCGAGTCGAATCTTGTCATGCTTCATATCAATGCTTCATAGTTCCTTACTCCCATATCAAATAAATCTACTCTTAATTGCACTGACAGCCCAAACTATTTGTATTAGTTATCTATCCATTCATTTACAAATTGCTACAATGATTCCAGTCACAGTTGTTATTGTAGTTTTTTCAGTGATGCCACCACAAAGTAATAGGAATTCCATGTCACTAGATGATGACATTTAATATAGAAATATAAGATTATATAGTATCAGGCTGTTTTTTTATTACCTTCCAACTTAAACATGAAAATCTTGTCCTTTTTCACAGCGGTTTTAAGGGTTGGCTCAGCTAGCACTAGAAGTCCATCCATCATGCTGTTAGGCACAGGAATAGTTAAAAGCTGGGAATAAAGCTCACTCTGAGGAAGGACACCTGTAACACTGATCATTTGGTGAGCACAGCTCCGCCGCACCTGGACTCACTGTCCTAGAGTGTTGACTACATTTATGGGGTGTAATAACAAGTTGGTTAAACTTAGTCCCCTGGTATGAACAGAAATATCCGTCCAAATTTAAGGGTTATCGAAAGCTAACAGGAAAAGAAATCAGGGACAATGTGCTTAGCCCAAAAGAGAGATGATGGTGCTTGACTGACCTCTATAACAGGTTTAAGACCCCAGTACAAAAAGACATCAAGGAATACCACAAATAAAACCAAACTGGAGAGGGATAGGTTGCTTTTTATGATCTTCAGTAGAGATCATTGTTAACCAACACATTTAAATTAAAGTTGTGATCCACTTTCACATATGGAGTAGCTTCAAATGTACAGGACATCAAAATAAACACAGCAGTCTTATGGAGTTACAGAACAATAAATAATCACAGTTTGTACGAATATGAATAAGTATTTTCTCATAAATACGCAATCATTATAAATAAATAAATGAATAAATAACACAACAGATGATAGAGGTTGCACATAAAACAGATTAGCCTTATTGCCATCTTTGGAAACAGCACCTGACATGCTAAAACACATTGCACTGATTCTGCTTCTAACGCCCATTGTCTCATTTACATCACCAAGGCTCTTTTTAACACATCGACTCGCAGACTAATGAGCGAGAGTCCAGAAAACACTTCAGCGCTACATGCAGAAGTATGAGCCCTTATGGAGTCCATTCAGTCTCATGCCAGTGTGCCCCTCTCTCTCTCTGTTTCACAAGTGCCATCAATTTGGACAAACACTGCCAACCCTCCTTCCCCCCTAGCTCCAGAAACAATGGCTCTCAATTACCAGTCAACAATAAATTAGAATATTAAAAGCCACCGAGGACGAAAGGAGTGGATAGGGTTGAGAAAGCCTGGAGGTGTGTGACCCGCTGAGAAGTCTGCAGATGTCGATCGGTCGGGGTTTGTCACGCCGGCCCGGCCGCCTGTCTTTGACATGTAGAGAGAAGAGGGAGGAACAAACCTGAACCTCCTCCCCGCTGAGATCTCCACACTCAGGGTGCCCCATGATCCTCAGTTAATCCCACTTTATCCAAGAGAGGCGGGCTGTCAGATCTGGGAAGGGAAAACATGGGGGCAGAAGGAGACAAAAGCAGGACAAACATATAAGTTTTGATACATTTTAATGACTGTTTAACAAGTCCTAGGTCTGGGGCTACACAATGGGGGCACACTTACTGCTGAAAAGCCCCATAAAGAGGCTTCAGAGCAGATTCCCACAGAATTAGTTAAGTGCATGGAGGCAGTAAGAATACAGCTACTTGTGTTTTGGTGAAATGAGGCTCATTTAACAGCAAATGCATGAGGGAAACACACCTGGGGATAAAAGTGTGCAGCAGACACACAACAAGCTGATTAAAATGAATGTCTGCTGAGATTACTGTGAATAACAACAATTCATTCTTTCTGTCCACTGAAAGACAATTACATTTCAATTAACCATCAAAAGCCTCTCTATAAGTATTTAGGTTAACAAAGATATAGACAAAAAAATATATCATTTTTATTTGTGTTGTGGTGGAAGCTTGTGCTGTATGTGATTATATTCTCTATTATAATGTATATTTGGCTAATCAGAAGAAACTTAATTGAAGCTTTAAAGATCAGGTATTTTACATTTTGGTTTGTTTATGACCATAATGTTTTATTCAGGGCTAATTTAAGTCATATATAAAGAAAGATTCTGTAATATTCTATATTATCTATCCTGTCTCTTTTAAAAACAATGCCCAAACATTTTGCAAAAAACTGGATGAGATAAGACTGATGATGCATTGGTTACGGATGATGCTGTTATTAATATTCCTGTCAACACATTGGCTGAAGTTAAGCTTTAACATTACTCTGATCTCATCTGCAGACTCGATCATTCATTAGTTAATGACAATTTCATGGGCTAATGATAGCGATCAGCTCACCACTTGTGTTCCAGATGGCGTTGGTTTGATTCTTGTAGCCATTCTTCATGCACTCATCCACGTAGGATTTGGGGTCGCAGCCCGACATGAGGATCTCTCTGAGCAGGGCGATGTAGGCTATGGCCAGCCTCAGGGTGTCTATCTTCGACAGCCGCTTCTCGTAGGGAAACGTCGGCACGTGGCAGCGCAGCTCCTCGAAGGCGGAATTGATGCTCAGCATCCTCTTCCTCTCCCGGATGTTGGCGGCATGCCGCTGCACCTTGTACGGGTGATGGGTGACTAGCCGCCGCGCCCTGCGCTTGCTCACCTCCAGAGGTTCGTCCACGGAGGAGGTCTCCCCTTCAGCGCAGACACCCGCACCCGGAGACTGCACGTCGAGGTCGGTGAAGGTCAGCTGTGCCTCCGGGAACATGGACTGACTGCCCAAGGAGGACCAGGGCGAGAGCTGGCCTGTGGCTGCTGTGTAGTCCAGCAGGAAAGTGTCCAGTTGCGTCTGAAGCTGGAAGTTTTGGTCCATCTGTCCCCAAAATGCATAATCAGTGTTGCCATCCTGTTCGAAATCAAAAAGTATGTCCTCCATAATTTAAAAATAAAAATGTAATTGTTCTGTTTCTTTTTCTGGTCGGAAAATGAAACTGTGCAGGACTGATGGATACAGTCTCTGAAGGCAGAGAGCAGATCGGGGTTTCTTCAACAACCTGGTAACTGCCTACCTGCACATGTCTGAATCTCTGCTGTGTGACAACCTCATGGGCACATCTCCTGGATTAAATACTTCCAGGGCCTCCATGTTTCCCGGCGGGTTGCTCTGGCCAATTCTAAAGGCTGAAAGGGAGCTCTTAAGAACACTTTACCCCTCCTTGTGGATCGTTCATTGCTTTAAAAACGAATTACAAAGGAATCAGTTGATCTCCAAACGACAAAAAGCGGGGAAAACACGTGTCCAATTATAAACTTCCTCCCAAGTAGTCCCGCTAATATTGACAAAAAACACTCAGTGTTGAACCGTCATTGGAGGGTTTGTGCCAAGCATTATGGCGCAGCAGGCCATGCAAACCCGGTGGCCTCTGAATGGGATTGTTTTATCTATTAAAGCTCAGCTGACAACAAACACTACTGTCAGAAACATATGAAAGCTCTTTGTTTGTACAAAATGTAACGAGATTTCAATTGGAAAGAAGGATTTTCTGTTGTTTTTGCCTTTGGGTTTATTCTGGTCTAGACATATTTTTATGCACTGAAGTCAGATACCAAACAGACCTACAAGATGTAAAATATTCCAACAGTATCACCACAACTCGTCCCACATAATTTGAGTCTAGTAGCCACATTAATACACTCCTAATTTGTAAATGATATGACTGACTAAATGTCAGCCCGTGGAGAGGACGCACGCTGTAATTACTCTGGGGTTAATCAAATAAGCGAGTTCTTTCTTCGAGGTTGGATGGAGGGCAGCTTGGCGATGCGCTTTAATTCAAGAAGGCTGTATGTTTGCTGACACGTGGTTTTGATTTGACAAAGTCCTTCAGGATGCTAATTTAAAGGGAATTTGTTTGTTGCAGTAAACACAGGCGGCATGAGGCCTTTCGCTGTAGCAGCAGCTGATTTAACCAGAATTATCCAGACAACTAACACTAAGACAGGTGAAGCTTGGGACTAACAGCTGGTGGCAGTACCAAACACTTTAGCCTCACAGATTATAGAGACACTTGTATTTTGAGTCATTCTAAAGTTTCTTGCAAGAAAAACATGTTTGTTATTGTGTTTTTATAATCAATATTCGATCACATCCAGGCCGATTGACTCCAGGATCTCTTTCCTGTATTTTGATCCTATTTCCTTGAGGTGTTAGATGTATCCACGTTTAATATGGCGTGGAAATAATTTATTCCTCCTAAATAGTTGCAGATGTGATTTAAATGGAGAAAAAAAAAAATTCCAGTATGAATGAGCTTTTTGAAGATGACGCACGAAAGTTGTTTGCTTATTTTGAAGGAACAATATAAAGACTACAATCTCTTTGGCTTTCTTCTTTGGTGTGTTTGATTTCCCTGCAGGGACCTCAGTATTTGTTTCAGGAAACAAATCAAAGTTTCTGCTATTTTCCAAAGGATTGAGTTACAATAGTTAATGAACCTACAGCACCAGTGTTGCTCTAACCATTTTCCACCCTACAATTCAATTAACCCATGAGACTGATACATTTGAAAGGACAACATCCTGATTAATGGGCGCATTGTCATCCAGCCCAGCATCTTGTTTTAAAAGTCAATAAAAGCGTTTGGAGTGTAAATTAGGCACGAAGGAGAAAATGTGTAGGTAGTTTTTTAAAATGAGGCGTCATCAAGTCCACTTTCTTTACATTTAATCCCGGATGTCCTCTAATGGTTGCTGGGGATTTAATTGGCAAATGGAGGTAACACAATCTACTACTTGAAAACCAGTTTAACCACACAGGACTATTTTTATTTAACTGTAATTAAACTGGATGAGAACAGGTATAAATTGAAATGCATGGCCTAAAATGAAGGTGTGATATTGTGTGTGAGCTATGGTGTAGGATTAAATCACAAAAAATATAATTATCTATTTTGTTTTCTGGGGAGAAAAAGTATAAAAATGTCACATTTTAAAATATAAGAACCACGCGTAAAATAAAGCCGAAATTATCTCATTCCATAAAAACGGTTTGTAAGACTCAGGAGCTGCTTTATAGACGCAGGGGCTTGCTCACTCAGACGGACAGTTTTATAGCACACCATGGTAAAAATAAATTCACATTGGCTCGGCAGTGTGTTTGCTTGGCTTCCTAATTACTGAAGAAGAGCAGACAGCCTGCATTGAGAGGTGCGGGCCCTGTCAGGACCTTCTGCCAGCCTGCCAGCGGCACCTCTCTCCCAGCTGACGGTCTCGGATTGGTTTGGTCCGGGCTGAAGAGACGCGCCTGTCAGATTCAGATCTGCCTTATTGTTTGTACAACAATTCAAGAGGGTTAAAGGGTTTGGAAAGAACGAACGATCGCAACCCCTTCAGAAAATGGGAAATAAATAAGGGGGAGAATGATAGATTGACCGTAAACGCAACACTGAGCTGATGTAGCTGAAAATGGGGAAGTTGGGCTTTTATGTCTCCCGATTGAGACGTGAAATCTGGTTTTTGCTTATAAACAGTTGTTAAAGCGTCGATTCAGTGTGTGTGTGGTAATTCATTGACATGCAGGCTGCACTGCGGCCCAAACTCAGCTCCTCCGATGGGATGAGCTGTAAGATCCCGTCCAGGGCTTCCAGCCCAGATGACAGGACAGCGTGGAAAAGTCAAGTGCGCCTTGGACGCTGCGCAAAGCCACATGCTCGCAATTAGGACTGCGGTTTTGAAGCTGTTTCCCACCTGGGTGTTACTGTGTGGAAAAACAAGGATGTTAATGAAACTGAGAATCAAACGCACATTAGAATCGATCCACCTGCTCTTTCATGTGCTTTATAATATTATGATCTTTAATAAGTGACATGTTTTGGGAGGTTAAAGTGGACAGCGTTAGCTCACACGGCGCTTGTGTCATTTCCTACAAATTAATGAGCTGTGTTGCTAAACTCTAGTCTTCAGAATTGGTGCCAGAATGCTTTGCAATAATGCTGCTGCTATGTCCAAACCTCCCCTTCTCTCTTTATTTCTCTTTCTATTTCTTATTTCTCTCTAACGCTTTAACATCTGTTCCCCCATCTCTCTCTCTCTCTCTCTCTCTCTCTCTCTCTCTCTCTCAGAAAGTTGTGAGCAGCAGACATGAGATAGTCCATCAATGCAAAAGAAAGATTAACATTTCAGGGTTCTGTTCACTGACGCACATCTTGTTTGTTTGGGTACAAGGCCGATAAACATCTTGGTTCTGAAACCCTCTGGGATCTGTCTTGGCTGCTGTGAGGGAATGGCATAGCAGCCAAGTGTAATCTTCAGCGTTGGCCACAAACAGCTCTTTGATCCGTGCTGGGACTGAGCCATTAGAGTGTCACGGCACATTGAAGCGATAGCTCAGAGCAGAAGTTACCCTTGACCACAGATTAGGATTGAGATAGCCTCAGGCCTTTACCTTTAAAGGTAAGCTACAATCAGCATTAATGCAATGAACAGTATGTGCCCGGCTTCAAAGGGCACGCCAGTCAACTGAATGAACATAATGCAGGAAATGCCTCGAATGATTGCGTGCAAACCTCTCTAGCATGTGAAGTATTTGTGGATTTAGGGTAACATCCATTTCCTAGAAACTGTTTTGGGGCAACAACACATGATTGATGTGTGATCTTATACTATAGTCATTTGTGTGATGTGTGCTACCAAGACAAACTCAGGTACGTCCACAAAACCTGCCAAAGAAATGATTCTGGTTCTAAAAGTTAAGTAGCAGCTTATTGGCTTCACGCCCATTCCTGTCTGCATTTCAGGCCTGAGTCTGGTCTGGAAAAAGCATCATGGTCGTTAAATGGGCCTTAAGCAAACACCCCTCTGGGGCCACCACCCCTCTCCCTGGACGAGCAAGAACCTAAAGCTGGATCTGAGCCCCCAGTTTGATAAAAACACATCAGCATTGCAGTATGGGTGTGTATACACTGCATGACAACAGGTGGTATTTATATATAATATGACTTTATATGTGTGTACATGTGTACAGCACATTGTAAGCTTCCCCTTTAGTCCACTATTATATTTATTAATCCCAATCTGTGCACGGCCACAGAGTCTATGGGAGAGGACTGATCTGTAGGAATGTGAAGACTGCAATCATCGGTGGTGAGTGACACCTGCAGAATACCAGATGTCAATACAACTTCCCACTAAAATCACCTGACTGCAAAAGATGGACCGTATTGTCAAAAATAATGCTAATATTCTTCATTTGAAATCACAAACTGCTTTTTAGCTTTGAGCTGAGGGACAATGGAACTCACTCAGCCCATAAAAGGGCCATTTCAACTTTCAGGTCCGATGAGAAAAATGAAAAGAAAAGTTATTTTCATGGCAGCAACAATAAATTGAGGACATAGCAGTGATTTAAACTGTGTGGGTACATAACAATATCAAACAAACCCTCCACTCAATGTGTTTTTCTTATGTTTATGTGCCTTAAAATGTCTGACCTTGACTTTACTGACTTTAAAAGTTTTTCAGTAGACATTTGAAAGTAGTGTGTTTTCACATTTCTCTACTGAAGATGTCTGCACACTTCCCTAAAATCTGAGATTAAGCTAGATCGCTGTCTAGCAGATGCAATCGGCAAAGAATCCTGAAGCCTCCAGTGCAGTGTGCCCTAGTCAGTACAGACAGCGAGAGTTTGCACAGTGAGTGTGCAGTTTTTGGATGTAAACTGCACCCTGGAGCTTCCTTCCACTATCTATCTACACAATAACAATAATGTGAACACATTGTAACAGCAGATATAATTGTCTGTTTCACAACCACTAATACTGTGTCAGCCAATGCCAGTTACAAGCTAACAAACAAAATAAACAAATAAAAAATGCTAAATACACTTCTGATATATCTGCTGATTTTGGTGCACAACAGACTCCTCATATTTAACACTAGCCATCTTGATGGGTGCTGCCTTTTCACCGGTCAGCACTGGAATTGATTGAGAATTTCTAAGTGAGGGAGAAAGAGTAATGTGCTTCCAGACCCTTTTCTGAGTTTTACTTTTTATGTGGGAAAACCATGTTTATTAATACATATGTTCTTTTAAAAATGTGTCTGGAGTGAATGTTTCTAGTGAAAGAATCAACTCAACATGGGGGAGACTGTCAAGTTCACACACATTTTTGTAATGAGCAACAACAGCATTTTACAACCAAATATAATTGGAGGTGGTCGCTACCAAAATTGGACTGGCCTTGATTCAGTAGATGTTGGCAGAGTGAACCAAAACCACTCTGGTTGCAATAGCTGGATAAATCATAGTATAATAGGATGTAAACATGCCAACCATAAAATGTATTCCACCTCTGAAAAATGTTGGAAATTCGAGGTACTCTATGACCAGAGAAGGACAGAAATTGCTTTTAAAAGGAGAATTCCAGAAAATTAGCTTTGCACTTCTTAAAAGTTGGGTGGCTTGTAAGAACAAAAGCCCCTCGTATGTACATTTCCCAT